TCCCAGCATAAGCAAATATTTATTTCCAGCTTTGCAAGCTATGGTGCAGGAAAGAGCTTAATCTCATTCCTTCTCATGAGGAAATGTACTGTAAAATATATTTTACAATTTCAACAAATGTTGCCTTGGCAATAGGATTATTCCCTTGTACTGCCATTATCCAAGGGGCAAAAGACTACTTATGCACTGAACCTCCATAAACGCTCAATTCCACCCTGGTTTTAATTAGAACTTTCTTCAAACCGCTGACTGTTCCTACATCAGGTGCTGATTTGGCACTATTGAGGAAACAACCAATAAACTTCACAATCAATCTGCAGTTAGTAGTCAATCCAGCTTGGCTTGCTTGTTGTTTTCTTCCTTTGTACATTTTCTCATAGAAAGTAGCAATAAATTGGAGACATGTGGTAAGCGAGAGAGCCTTTAACATTAGATGTTCCTGCTGCCAGAAGCTAGCAAACTAAGTAAAACTACAAGACTGGTAAAATAAAGCCAATGTTTGGGGAAAAAAATCCAAACCACAACAAAAAACAAACCAACCCCCAATTTCTAAAACAAAAGCAAAACCAGGAACCTGTAACTAAATTCATCCATCCATATCTAGGTTTCATTTCCAGGAAGCTAAGTATGCCCGAGTATATCAAATGAAACACAGTTATCAGGCTCAGGTCTGCGTAATTCATTTTGAAACTGTCTGCAAGACCCAAGAACGGTTATTTCTGTTCTATGAAGAGATCAGGGTAGAGTTAGAATCATAGAATAGTTTGGGTTGGAAGCAACCTTTAAAGGTCATCTAGTCTAACTCCCTGCAATGAGCAGAGACATCTTCAACTACATCAGGTTGCTCAGAGCCCTGTCCGACCTGACCTTGAATGGTTCCAGGGATGGGGCATCTACCATCTCTCTGGGCAACCTGGTCCAGTTTTTCACCACCCTCATTGTAAGAACTTCTTCCTTCTATCCAGTCTAAATCTACCCTCCTTTAGTTTAAAACCATTATCCCTTGTCCTCAGGACTCCAGGATGCACCTTACAAGGTCCCATAGACTTATTTTCAGGTTCTGTAGGTGGTCACATGCCTGATCTTCTTTCACAGTGGGGAGGGACTCTGCTCCCCTAGTCCCTGTCTTGCAGTCCATCCACTTGAGAGGTGTGGGAAGAGAGACTGCCCATACAGGCTGAGGCAACAGTTGTTGAGCACCTCAGCCTTCTCCTTGTCTGTTGTTATCAGTTTGCCAATGTTGCTCACTGGGGGAGTAAATCTATCAGACATCACTTTTCATGTGCGAATGGCATGATCTCCCTACTTCAGTCAGTCTGCCAAAGTTACAGAGTGCAAGCAAGCTATAATGAGGGAACTCCTGCACCAATGACACTCAATCCAGTGGCTGTTGTACTGCACCACCTTTAATGCAAACAGAACAAAGAGAAGGGCCAGCCCCAAGCTACTCTAGAGACTGAGGACACATACAGCTACTGCAGGAGCATTGAGATATACAAAGTTTTCAAGTGACCTATAATTTCAGCTCAATTAGTAGATTTTCTCCAGCTATGTAACTCAGTGCAGTCATTTGTCACTGAGCTCTGGGGAGTCATCCAGGGAGAAACAAGAACCCTTTCCCTGCTGCAGGCTGTCACCTGGGCAGTCAGCATCTCTCAGCACTTGGGCTGTTGTATAAATTACATCCCTCCGAGCTTGGTCAAGTATGTCCATCATTCAGCACATATGTAATCTTCGCTATTTTATTGTCTCATTGATGGAAGAATTAGCTGCACAGTGGGAAACACATTAAGAAAGGCCTACCAATTATTTTGTCTGTGTTACTAACTTCTTTAATCCTCTGTAATCTCTTCTAAGGGGGGATTCATACCTACTCAAATCACTTCACAGGAGACATGTATAATGTAACAGCGACCCTACACACCAGAGAAAACAAAAAACGCTGCTACCCATCCTCCAGAGCATCAAATGCACCAGCCATTGCTGGAGAATGGATCATCATTTGCAAACAGTATGCAGTGGCACTATCCAAGATAACCCCAGTTCCTTCTTCATCTACGTCATAACCTCTGTTTCTCCAATTATGAGCAAACCACAGCCTAACAACAGGAACCTAGTTTTGTTCTAAGCACCTTGTGGTGTTCCCATCTGCCCAGAAAGAATCTCTTTCTCCATCTCGGAAGCTGGTATCAAATGTGGTGAGGCTATTCAAAACCTTTTTCTGGTTTGCAGATGTGATTTGTGGATCTTGAAGGCTCAGGTACTATGTCACAGGATCCTCAAATCACATTACAGGAAAACCATAATGAAATAAATCTTTTTAATCTGTTTTTTGTTGTTGTTCTGTTTTGCTTTTCTATATTGACATAGTGAACCAAAGCTGTTGATCACTTTTGCAGCTGAGATGGAGCAAAACAAACAAAGAAACAAAAAGACAGGCAAGACCAAACCCAGAGAAGCTAGAGGTGATGTAAGTGGCAAGGGAATTACCAAGGCAGTGCCATGTATCATCATAGCTCTTGATAAATAAATGCAGATTGCAGAGCAATTTTTGCATTTGTTTGTTTCCACTCTCCTGATTTTCAGAAATTATATACCCAATCCTTCTTTCTTCTCTAAACAGCTTTGTCTTTTCCATATGTGCCCTACTGCAGTCTCTCAGCCTACTGCTTCAAGTCGGTGTTACTGCAATGAACACTGCTGGGACTAGCCTTCACTTACCACTCACATTTGACTAGGGCATTAATAGTTCATTAGTTTGGTGGAGCTGCTCGTGTCAGCATTAAACATATACTCTTTAAATGACACAGTGCGATTCCAGAAGTTTCCAATACACAATACCTTAGATGGTGTTAAAATTGGCTTACTTGTCAGACATTCACTATGCAACAAAAAATTAATTAGATCTGTCAAGGTACTTTATTATGCTCATTTTGACCCATATCAGCCAACATACAACTACTTTAAAATCAAAGGCGTTTTCTGAAGTTGGTGGTTAGATAAAGCCTCAGTTATTTTAGAGACACTAGGGAAAAGAGATGTTTGTAAAGAGCTGTCGTCCACTGTGGGCAGTTTAAAGCAAAACCACATACAGTTTATCCACCTGTGGCAAATGGATCCATCAGCACGCATACGAATCACCAGCATTTGAACAAAAACCTACCACATTTAATCAAAGTAATGAAAGAGGGTCAAAATACATAGAAATTCTCCACTAACTTATAAGTAAGACTTCTTTTAACAGAACTCAGCAGCTAGAGTACTTCTTTATCTCACTACCTGTGTATGCCTGATTTCATACCCCTCTAATCTTAAGGCTTACCATGATAACAATAAGAAATACTTTATCAGCTCAGCGTCTGTGCAGATCTACATAATTTGAATTATTGTATGCTTTGAAATAAAGCTCCATGGT